TAATAAAGATCTAGAAAACATGTAGGCTACATAGTGTCTCTGTTTTTCACTAAATGCCGGAGACATTATCTCCTGTACCTAAATACCTGTTTTTCAGCCAGATCAAGTAGAAACTAAAAATGCTTGATTTTAAGCATTGTAAAGAAGCTTTGATGTTAAGATTTAGTACAATTGAAATTGATAAAAATAGTTTTACATTTTAGTTTGGGTTCTATTCTCTTTAGAAATTCAGAAATATACACTTTCAAAAAAAGTGTATTTCTAATCATCACTGTACAAAAAAGATGTTGAGACTCTAGGAAGAGAACAGGGAAGAGCAACAAAGATAATTAGGGATCTGGAGGCTAAAGCATACGACGAACGATTGCAGGAACAGGGTATGTCGACTGCGTTGAAGAGAAGGAATAGGAGTGGCAAGAGGATAGCAGTCTTCCGATATTGGAGGGGCTGTCACAGAGAAGGGGGAGGTGGACTTATTCTCCAAAGCACCTGAGGGCAGGACAAGGAATGGTTGGGATTAGGATCAAGCGGCAGGTTGGACAAGAAGACCGCCAAGGCCTCTTCCAACCCTATGATTCTATGATTAGTCTCTCTTATTTCTCCAACTCACCCTAAATTATTGTTACTCAAGAGTTACACCACCAGCTTTGTAGCTAGATTTATGGGATTTGTTCATATTAGTTATTCTGTTTGTTTATCCGTGTATTTCCTTGATGGAATCATTGGAAATTACATTTGGTCCACCATAGTTGGGTTCTCTTTTCTCTTCCCTTAAATACTTTATCAAGTTTGATAGTTTCCTTTTTATTATATTTTTTAAAAACTTTGTTGCTTCTTTACTCTATTCAATGTTGTGTTTCTTTCTCCAGGCAGATGGCAAAAGAAAGTATAATACTTTACTTTCGTGGCACTCTAGTGGCTATAGCTTCTGAGCATACTGTATGCATATGCTCAGACCAGCTGCATCAAACCGTTGATAGAATATAGTGTTTAATTATGCCACACCATGTTTACATAGTCTTAATCTTACTGTTATTGCCATTGTTTGAGAATTTTTAAAACTTTTCTTATAATTAAACATTTGCCTTTTGCTTCAGTACCTTACATTCCATGCTAAGAACATTTCGCTGTTACAGCCCACAAAATGAAGAAGTAAGATTCTCTTGAAATAGTTTGAGCTTTGTTCAGTTGGAACATAATTTACTCAGAATGTTCTAAAGTTTTTTGAATGAAACAATATATTTAGAGTGACCATTGAAATTATTTTTCATCTTTGTGCATACTTCTGATTCTCTGTTCAGTCTATTATTATTTAACTAACCCAAAACTTGCCCAACAGTGTAGGTTTGGCAGTTTTCTTATTTCTATGAACATCTGTTCTACATGACTTTGCCAATGTCCCCCCTTTCTTCTTCCACTCAGTCACTGTAGCCATAATTCCTCAGCAACTTGCTTGCATTCTATACATGCTACCATAACCTCTGCAATCAGAACCGCTCAGGCTGTAGTGCAAGTTGCAAAAGGCTGGACTGTTGCTGTAACTGATTCTTCCATCTGCTTTTATATAACAGAACAATAGAATTGTAAGGAACCTCAGAGGTCTTGTAGCTCAGCCCCCCTGCTCAAGCAGGAGATCCTATGCCAGTTCATGCAAGTGGCTGCCCAGCCTCTTCTTAAAAACTTCCAGTGATGGAGCAGCCACAAGTGCTGGAGGCAAACTATTCTATTGATTGATTGCTTTTGCTGTTGGGAAATTTCTCCTTAGTTCTCGGTTGTATGTTTCCCTGACAAGCTTTCACCCATTATTTCTTGTCCTAGAGAATAAGTCAACCCCCTCAATTGGAACACTGCTATCATTTCACCCCGTTCTTTCTTTTCATTAAGGTAGACGTACCCAATTCCTGCAACCGTTCTTCACATGCTTTAGCCTCCAGTCCCCTAATAATGTTTGTGGTCCTGCAGTCTTTCTCAGCATCTTTTTTGTACCATGGTGACCAAACCTGGACACAGTATTCCAAGTGTGATCTGACTAAGGCAGTATAAAGTGGTGCTAGCCTAGGACTGCATTGGCTTTTTGGCAGCTGCAACACACTGGGGATTATCTATCAGGACTTTTAGATCTCTCTCACAGTTACTGCTGTTGTGCCATCTATTTACCTGTGCATTTGCTTTTTTCTTGCCTAAATGTACATTTCTTACCATTGAATTGCATTTTGTTGGATAGGACCAGCGTTCAAGTCTGTCAAGATTGTTCTGAGCCTATCAGAAAGTGTTAGTTATTCCTGCCAGCTTGGTGTTGACTGCAAATCCGATAAATTCCCGTTCTATCCCCTCATCTAAATAATTTATGAAGATGGGGAATCCTGTGCCTAAGACAGAACTTTTTGCATACTTTCCTCCATGTAGATGTAGTTTCATTGAGGACCTCACATTGAACGTGATTTGTCATCCATTCACAAATCTATCTCTCCCATACCTCTCCGAAGTGAGGCGTGGGAGGAGTCACAACTGGGTATTAACATGGCCCATTTGCCCGGAAACTGGGGTAGAACTCCCTCTACTCCTCCTCCTGACTCTCCAGATTAACCTCAGTCTTTGGCCCAGAAGGAGTTCTTTTTGCTGGCTCTCCATTTGGTTCGAGGCAATTCCTTTTACTTGATTTGTTCCTTCCTTTTAATCTTTATTCCTCCCACTTCTCCCACCTGCGCCTCTGTGAGCTGGACTTGCTGCGCTAGTGGGGAGCTCCTGAGCCGCTGGGCAGTTGTGAGGGGGGGGGGGCTTCAGGCCATGCGCCGCAGGATGCTGCACTGCGCGATTCCCTGTTTCAGTAAAGGGAATTGCGGGACCAGATTAGAAGAGAGCGGCTCAGTCAGAGCTGGCTCAGCCGTTCAGGCCACGTGGTCAACGGTCACCATCTTGGACGGTGGCCATTGTTTGGAAGTGCATGTGGCGGAGCGCAAGGATCGGTGCTCCAGTTACAGAGGCCGCATGTACTCAAAAACCACCGCCAGTGCCCAGGACGGCATCTTTGGGCCTGTGCTCAGCCGCTGATCTGGGGAGGGCCCCAGCTGTTCAGCAGTGGGCCATTTTTTTGTACCACGGATCGGCAGTTGGCTGCGGAGCGCGTTAGACCGAAGGAGCTCCGATTCGCGCAGCAGTCCTTTGGTCAGTGGAAATTGAGAGAGGAGGTGGTGAGACAGCGAACCGTGAGTAAGGGCGTGATGGCGGATGCCACGAGGAGCGGGGGATCGGCTGCCGCTGGATCACCAGGTGATTCCGATCCGGGTAAGGGGACCTCCTGGGGGTTAACCCAGTAATGAGGGGGAGATCCACCTCTAAGAAAAGCACCTCTACGTCTGCAAGGAAAAGGGTTCCCAGCAAGGAAGTTCGCATCACCATGGCGGCTGGCAGACGGATCAGGGATAGCATCAGCCCTTCACCATCCAGATCGCGTTCCCCCCGCAGGACTTCTCCCTTGGCTGAGGTCCTACGTGGCTCTCCGGGCTCTCCCCGTGGTTCTGTCAGGAGGGGTAGCCCGGGGGGATCCATTTGGCCACAGGGCGGCACCTCAATCTGCAGCCTCTAGGCCTGTATTGGAGCCTCCCAGCCTCACCCCGGCTTATCCAGAGGTTTATGAGAGTTTTCAGAATGTTATTGCTCGAGCCATTGCTCTGCCACGGGTCTGCAACACCAATCTCAAGGGTCTAGGCAAAAGTCTTCTTGTGGGACCCCACGAGGTCATCCGGACCAACCCGGTTCCGCAGCTCCCAGAGAGCACAGATCAGCTTCCCCCTCAACGGCTAGTGAAGGGTCTGGCTTGGAAAAGGAGGAGCAGAAAGATATCGGCTTCTCTGAAGACGAAGACTCTCAGGCTCCTGAGGCACCTGCTGTCACGGGACTTTCCCCACTTTGTTCAGCTCCTTGCTGCGCAAAGCCAAAGCCGCGGCAGATCTGGACAGTACCCCAGATCCTAACCAGGCTGCTGCCACGCCTAGCACTAGTGGGGGGACCAAGAAGGGGCTTTTCCACAGGCCTCAGGTTGAGAAGGATGAGATTCCTACCCCAGACCTCTTCCTGGAGGTGCTTAAGTCGCAGTGGGCTAAGCCTGCTACCTTCCCCACTCCAGGGAACTACGATCACGGGTTTTACAATCTTAATGCAACCTTCGCCCAAGCCCTACAGGTTCCTTCCGTGGATATTCGAGGTGGCACAGTGGTTAAATGCAGCACTGCAGGCTACTTCAGCTGACTGCAGTTCTGCAGTTCGGCTGTTCAAATCTCACCGGCTCAGGGTTGACTCAGCCTTCCATCCTTCCGAGGTGGGTAAAATGAGGACCCAGACTGTGAGGGCGATATGCTGACTCTGTAAACCGCTTAGAGAGGGCTGAAAGCCCTATGAAGCGGTATATAAGTCTAACTCTATTGCTATTGCTATATTCCAATGGCTGCTCTGGCCTCTTCCTCTGCAGTGATGACGGGGGATATCTCCAACTGCCTGAAGGCGGAGGATAAGAAGGCAGAACTTGTCCTGCGCAAGACCTTTCAGGCCGTGACGTGGGCGATCAGGGCAGCTGCCGCAGCCTCTTTCTTCAACAGGTCTATCCTGCTATGGCTGGAACAACTCCGGGATCGGACTCCAGCGTCTGACGTGCGGCTGTTGCAGGACATTACGAAACTGGGCGGCCACCCAGTTTTCGGCTGACACCACGTTGGATGCGGTTAAGTATTCTTCCAGGGCGTGGTCCTCCTCTGTGGCATCCAGATGCTTGCTGTGGCTGCGCAATTGGCAGGCTGAGTCCTGGGCAAAATGGCATTTGGCAGGGGCCGAGTACACGGGAGACAAGCTATTTGCTGCTTCCCTGGATCCCGTCCCAGAGAAAGAACAAGCGCAAGGTCTTTCCCTCTATGTCCAAGCGTTGGAGTTCCGCTCCCAACCCCCAAATAGATTCCGGATCTTTCCCTCCTCCAAGAACCCGGTCAAGCGCTCCCTCAAGCGCACGGCCATCCGGCATCTGCTGGATATCAAAGCAGTGGAGTTGGCTCTGGAAGGGGAGAAAGAGTCAGGATGTTATTCCAACCTGTTTGTTGTTCCCAAGAGTTCAGGGGGTGGAGGGCTATCTTGGACCTCAAGTTGTCAAACTCCAGGCTTGCCTACCATAAATTTAAGATGGCCTCCCTCAAGTCTATCCTGGAGGGGATCAGGCAGGGGGACTTCTTAGCCTCCACTAATCTCACGGAGGCTTATCTCCACATCATGATTGCCCCAGATCACCGTAGGTTCCTTAGGTTTTCATATGGGGGTACCCATTATCAATACAGGGCCCTTCGGGTTGGCATCTGCACCCAGGACCTTCACCGAGGTACTAGCCATGGCAGCGGGCCATCTCCGAGCCATCCCGGTCTGGTTACATTGCTACCTTGATGACATCCTCGTGCTAGCCACATTGGCTGACCAGGCATCCTCGTGCTAGCCACATTGGCTGATCTGGGCCTCACAGTCAATACCTTGCAAATCCTGGGGTTCTCAATCAACCTCAAGAAAAGCCACCTGGTTCCCACCATCAGATTCCAACATTTGGGGACCATCATTGACTCGGTGGAGTGTGAGGTGTTTCTGTCACAGGAGCGTAGGGACAGTATTGTGGAGTTGATTCAAGAGATTTGCAAGACTCGCTCTGTTCCCATAGCTCTTCTTTCCAGGCTCCTCGGCAAATTCATCTCCTGCATTGGGATAGTGCCCTGGGCTCGCCTTCATGCCAGAGAACTGCAATGGTTCCTGCTTCCACACCAGAGGGACGGGACAAGCGACGCAAGCTTCAAGGTCCTCGTGACGCCCCAGGTGCTTCTCTCCCTCCATTGGTGGATGTCTCCAGCACTGACCAAGGGCTCCCTGTTCAGGGAACCAGACAGGTTGGTCCTAACGACAGACACAAGTTTGTTTGTTTGGGGGGCACACCTGGAGTTCCAGTTAGCTCAGGGCCAGTGAACACCCGCGAACCTATGGAAGAACATCAACTGGCTGGAGCTCAGAGCGATTCACCTAGCACTTTGACAGCACATCCTGGTTCTGACGGACAACATGGCAGACAAGGCCCACGTGAACAAGCAGGGGGGGGCACTCATTCCGTTGCACTACTCAATGAGGCAGTGCGACTGGGGAACTGGGCAGAACGGAATCTCCTGTCGATTCGGGCGGAACACATCTCCAGGGTGGAAAATCAACAGGCAGACTGGCTCAGCAGGGAGACAGTAGACCATGGAGAGTGGCAGCTTCATCCCAGCATCTTCGAGTGGATTTGCCAGAGATTCGGTCGGCCGACAGTGGATCTCTTCACCTCCCCGTTGAACGCCCCGCTTCCGAGGTTCATCTCGTGGTTCCCGACTCGAGGGTTGGTGGACATCGATGCCCTGCACTGCAGATGGCCGTCGGGGCTTCTCTACGCCTTCCCCCTCCTTCCCCTCCTTCCTGGGGTTCTGAGGGAGTTAGTGCTAGAGAGAGAGAGCAGAGGTCATTCTGGTGGCACCTTTTTAGCCCCGGCAACCTCGGTTCGCAGACCTAGTGGGGATGTCGACTTTTCCCCATTGGAGGATTCCACGGGGGGAGGTGGCTCTGTACCAGGGGACTCTGGAGCACCCGGACCCAGAATGGCTCCAGCTTGGCGCTTGGGCGGGAGCAGCTAAGAGAGGCCCACTTCTCCGCCAGGGTCATCGGGACCATCAAGGCTTCTAGAAGGAGATCTACCACCCGCATCTACGATGCGACCTGGGCCTCCTTTGCGACCTGGTGTCGGTCTGCACAGGTAGACCCGACATCGGCCTCAGTTCCTCAGGTGCTGGACTTTCTCCAGGATGGCTTGTAGAAAGGACTGGCCCACAGTACCCTCAGGATGCAGGTCTCAGCCTTAGCCACGGTCCTTGGAGGGGTGGGTGCCCAATCCTTGTCCCAGCACCCGGTTATAAAGAGGTTCCTCAGAGGGGCAGCGAATCTCTGGCCCCACTGGTGGTCCACCGTTTCCATACCTGCGACCTTCCCATGGTGCTCCAGGCGCTGACGGAGGCGCCTTTCAAGCCCCTGAGGGAGGTGAGCCTACAGTTTTTGACCCTCAAGGTGGTCTTCCTCGTAGCGATCACCTCTGCCAGGAGCGTGTCCGAGCTCAACGCTCTGTCTGCCAGGGCGGATCTCTGTACCTTTCACAACAACAGGGTCATGCTCAGGCTTGATCCTGCCTTCCTGCCTAAGGTCAACTCCCCCTTCTATAGGGCTCAGGAGGTAGTTCTTCCGGACTTCTGTCCGGCACCTTTGAGGGGAAGGGAGAGGTCCTGGCGCCACCTGGATGTAAGAAGGGCACTGCGTATTTATCTGAAGCGCACGGCTGTCCTCAAGCGGTTGGAGGCGCTTTTCATCTCCTTCCAGCTCTCGACCCGAAGAGCAAAGGTATCTCCGGCCACCATCAGCAGATGGATTAGGCTAGCCATCTCCAAGGCTTACGAGGCGTGAGGGCTCCCAGTGCCAGAGGGCATCACCGCACGCTCCACCAGGAGTGCGGCCACCTCTGCGGCCTGGGCCACCCAGGCGCCCATCGAGAATATCTGTAGAGCGGCTGCCTGGTCTTTGCCCTCGCCTTTCATTAGACACTGCCGGCTGGATGCCTATGCCTCTGTGGAGGCATCTTTTGGTAGGAGGAGTGCTGGACGCTCGGGGGGCTCAGGCCCAATGATCCCTCCCATGGACATCTAGCTTTGGTATGTCCCAGTTGTGACTCCTCCCACGCCTCACTTCGGAGACTGTCAGTTGGCCTTACCTGAACTGCATGTCTTGAAGTTGGCGTGGGAGGAGTCACTTCCCACCCGTTCGGTGTGCTCCTGCGCATGAGGGCGCCTGAGTTGGTTAGTTACTGGCCAGTCAGGGACCGGGGAGGGGGATGGCGTGTTTTCCTGTTCCCTTCCTTCCCAGGCTCTCCTTCGGCTGAACCATCGGTTAATCTGGAGAGTCAGGAGGAGGAGTAGAAGGAGCGGCCTCAAATTCTACCTCAGTCTCCGGGCAAATGGGCCGTGTTAATACCCAGCTGTGACTCCTCCCACGCCAACTTCCAGACGTGCAGTTCAGGTAAGGCCAACTGACATTTTCCCTCTCACCAAGAAGCTGTGGTTTACTATGTCAAATGCCTTATTGATGTACCTGTATAGCAAGTTTATATTCTTTAACAAAATTTACTTTCACTTTTTTGCAAACTTGTAAAATATGTTAATGTATTCCCCCCCCCCCCCGTATTAAAATAGCAATCTGTACAGCACAGGAGTCTGAAAGGTTGCTGCTTTTTAAATCAATGATTACCATAAAAGAAAACCTGAATCCCTTTGATTTGGTTTTTTATATTATGATATGATCCTAAGGACTTTTATAATGTGGCTTATGCGAACTGCAAATAAAATATTTACCATCAACATATCAAATGGCCTGAGAATGACTTTCTTTAGAGCATGTAAATTCATATCTCTCTTCTTTCCTTCTTAATGCAGAGGTTTTTTCCCCCCTTTAATCTATCTTGGTTTTTCTTTGAATTGCCTCACTTTTATTTCTGGATGCCTTTGAAACTGTCCAAAATCCCCCAGCTGTTACACTGAACAGCACATAGTGACTGGGTGCGTATCTGCTTGTGAGAGCTTGTCTCTATTATGACAATAATCCAAATTGTCTAATCTTTTGGAAGACTTGCTGGAAGTATCTTGCATTTGGACTTGCACTGGAATGAAGTTTGGAATTGAACAGTAGAAATTACTTCTTAGAAATCCACTCCAAAAGCAAAAAATGCTAGTTATCTGTCACGCACATCATGTCAGATAATTTCTTTGAAGAACTTGTTTGAGCTGCAAATTAGGAAAGGAAAAAAAATCATGGATTTCTTCTGATGAGTTGAAGCAATTCCTTCTGTTGCTTGCATTTTTATATTTCAATACAGATTAGAGTTTCTTTTGCCAAAGCTGAGAGGAAGACAGAACTAGGTTCCTTTCCCGAATTTTGAGTTATTAAGCTTTCCTGTTGCCAACCATATAAATGCTGTCTTCAAACTACTCGAACAGAGAGGAAGCAGAACCTTTTGTTTCTTAATGGCTGCTTGATTCTCTGGCTCTCTTAATATTTTATTTACCTTTTATCTCTCATTTTTTGAGACTTCTGGTATTATAAACAGAAAACCAGGTTCAAATTTAAATTGAGCTTGCTTATACAAAGCGATTGTGTGACACACATCCATGATCCGTAGTTGAAGGCTGCGGTTAAAACTCTATGCAGCATAGAAAAGGGAAATGCTTCTACTGTCTGAAGTACAGATAGTCCTCAACTTATAACAGTACATTTAATGACGATTTGCAGTTACAACAGCACTGAAAAAAGTGACTTAGCATTTTTCACACTTATGACCATTGTAGTGGCCCCAAATTCACATGATCAAATTTCAGATGCTTGGCAACTGACTCACAGTTATGACAGTTGCAGTTGCAGCAAAATTAACGGGGAAGCCAGATTCACTTAACAGCCGTGTTACTAATTGTACAACTGCAGTGGTTCACTGATCAATTGTCGCAAGAAAGCTAATAAAATGGGGCAAAGCTCACTTAACAAATGTCTTACTTAACAGAAATTTTAGGCTCAATTGTGGTTGTAAGTCAATGATTACCTGTACTTTACAGCTTGTGAATTGGGCACTTGGTCATTTGAAGTGACATTCACCCAAGAAAATGGTGCCTAAATTGCTGTTTCTACCTCTGAAAGTTGGAGATCACAATTTAGAATTAGTATTGTAAATTGTCTTCTAATTTAAAGTTCTGTGGAATATCAAAACTTAGTGGCTTGGGTTGTATATAATACAGATCTGGAGGTTTATTAAATAGAACACAATTATTTATAATGGTTCATCTTCTCTGGAAATTATGCATTCATGCAATAGTTGAAGATCTCCATTTATTTCAGAGCATCCAGTTAAGAATGCATGAGCCTTGAATTTATCTGCAACTATATGGACAAAATAATTCAGCATGTTATTTGAAAAAGTGTTTTGTTGATTTATTTGGTATTTGAAGCTTTAATATACAGATGCTACTATTCTTTTGGAGAGTTTAGGTTAGGGCAGGAATTCTCACACGGTGAGTCAGGGATGAGGGCAATCACACTTCATTTTTAAAAGTCAGATAGGAGCAGTGCTAAAGCTGGTTCTGGGCTTGGTTCCCAGTTCTATCTATGTAATTAGTCAGTTTTCTAGTATCTCAGAGTTTGAAAACTTCTGGTGATACATACAGATTAAATGGGACAGAATGGGACAATGGGCGCAGCTGCCTGGCCCTCCCACTTCATCCCGGTCCCCCATGCGCCAGCTGACCCAATGGGGTTGTCCCCCACCATTCCTCCCCTGCCACCTCGCCCTGGCAATTCACTATGGGACAAATTGCCCCGGGCGATTTACCACTGGAGACAAATAGCCATGCATCCTGGCAGCCAATCCATGTGCTCTGCCTTCCCATTGGGCTTGGTGCGCTGAGAAGGCACCAGGTGAGATGGGCCGCAGCCTTGAGTGCTGGCTTTTGCAAAAGGTTGTGTGCCGGGAGGTGGTGGACGTGCCTCGGCATGCCTTCCCACCCACTGCCCTGCCACACACACACACACACACACCCTAAAGGAGGGTGCTGGACTGCACCCTGGCTGACCATCCCCACTGCTAGGGCAATTGGGCCGCTCTTCCCCATGAAGTGCACCTTTCCAGTGGTGGTAGAGTGCCTTGCCACTACCCAGAAGGGAGGTGCTGCTCCCCAAGCACATAAGGTTGCCTTCTGCAGCTGCCCCTCCCCACTCCCCTTTTGCCTTGGGGAGCCAGAACAAGAAACATCAGCCACACACCAGCAGCATTCCGCTTCTGTGGACCTTGAAGTCATCGCCCCGCTTGCCCAAGAAACGTTGCCACTCTTTGGAGAGGAGCCATAGGTCAGACGCTCAACTTCTCACCTGCTGAGGAGACGCCACGCTCTGCTACCAATCACTGGCCGCTCCCATCGCATTTTCCCAACTTCCCACGCTTTGCACCCAGAAAAAACGTGCTTCCTTTTTGACAATTTCAACAAACCACAAGCACCTCTGAACAGGGCGCAGATCTCTAAATAATGGGGGGAGGGGGGAGGCTGCTGAGTCACATGGTAGAACCTCTTTCACAGGGACAGGGCTGCTGTGGGAAAGCTGTCGCAGCATGATCTCACCAGATGACGCAACTGGAAGGAATCCCTAGTGCCATCCACCTTACCTGGGTAGGTCAAACAGGCAGGTACCCACTGATCACCCAGTGCCCAGAGGCTGTGAGGGTCCAGATGGAGATGAACCAGCTTCCCATCACCTTGGTGTCTAGGAACAGGGCAGGACTGGGGCACTTGCAAGATCCCCTCTCTCTGAGGATATCTGCCCATCTCACCAAGCTAGCTAGGGTGAATGCCTCCAGTGAGATAGCAATCACGGTAGCATGTAGACATATACCGCTTCATAGTGCTTTGCAGCTGTCTCTAAGCGGTTTTACAGAGTCAGCCTATCGCCCCCAACAATCTGGGTCCTCATTTTACCAGTCTCAGAAGAATGGGCGGCTGAGTCAACCTTGAGCCGGTGAGGATCAAATCCCTGGCGGTGGGAATGCAGATTAGTCTGCCATACTGCATTCTAAACACTGCACCACCATGTCATCCGGTGAGATGAAGCCGGTGCAGTTCCTTTTCTGTAGCGGTTCCACCACTGTGCAAGAGGTTCACATCCATCCACCCGTGCATCACATTTGTGTAACTTCCCACCTAGTGATTCTGGGCAATGCAAGTAGCAATAATCAAGTAAAAAGCATTTAAATAGCCAATTTAAATTTAAAATAAAAACTAATAAACTGGCAATACAACATTGAATGAACTCCATTAACTGTCATATAGCCATCCTAACAGGTTGCACTTTGCCATGCAGCTACCCCAAGCTAGTTGACAAAGCCGTGTTTTAAAGGCCTTCCAGAAGACCAACAGAATCGGGGCCAACCTCACCTCAGGGAGAGGGATGTTCCACAGAGTGGGGCTTCCTGCAGAAAAGGCTTTCTTCCTAGGTCTTGCTGAACAATTTTGCCTCGCTGCCAGAGCCCATAACATGCCTCTCTCACGGTAGACCGCGTGGGATATATCTGAAGAGAGATAGTCCCTCAAATATACTAGTCCTGTGTGCAATATAGGGCTTTAAAGGTTGGTTTGGACCTGGAAGCGAAGTGGAAACTAATGCAACTTTCACAGCAAGGTATGTGTGCAAATTGGAGCACATACAGTTGCCTTCTGCTGCTGCTGCTGCGTTTTGTGCCAACTGAAGGATATGGATATTCTTCAAGGAAAGCTCCATGCAGGGCACATGACAGTAGTCCAATTTAAAAATGTTATTGCTGCATAAATTGTTAGAATTAAGAATGAGATTATACCTAATTAAAGAAGCAGCTGGATTACCAACTAAAAACATTTCAAAATGTGCCTCTATTTAAGTTATTGCTTTTTAACGTTGAGTCTTTATTGATCAGCCCTTGGGCCATATCGAAGTGCAAAGTTCCAGAAACTATTACTAAAATTTGATAAAAGCAATTTAAAATGGAATTTGATAAAATACGATTTAAAATGAAATTGGAATAAAATATGATTTCAAATGGAATTGGAATAAAATAATTGGAAGTATGCTTAAGGCAATACTTTTTGTAATACAGAATGTAGTAAGTACAAAATAATATTAAACAAAAAAAAGTTTTTAAAAACCCCTAAAATCATCAATCCAGTCTACTGATTCTTACTTCTTTGTCATCCAGACATGGATTTTCTGTTTATCCACTGCAAAATAAGGGCTCCAGTAAGATTCCGCTTGGAACTAGGCTAAACATCTCTTTCTTCTTTCTTAAAGCCATTTTTTCCACCTGCTTCTGCAGCAAGCAAGCAGTTATAGGCTTTAGCTTAGTTTTTTTTTCCCTTTCCCTCATTTAGACTTGGAATGTTTCACAACTCTTCTAACGTAGTATTCTAGTACTGACATGATCTATTATGTGGTTGATATTAGCTTAATTATGGGTGACATTTTTCTTCATGCACTGGAACTTCCTTTCTTGCATGTTTGTTAATTGACCTTGGCGGGAACTTGTTCTTGTTGACTTAGAGCACAACTGTCTTGTTAGCTGTCTTAGAGCATTGCTAACATGTAAGCTAGCTTTGTTGGGTGGGAAATAACATGCAATATTCATGTTTATTTTTTAAAAAAAAACCATTTATTTTTCTTTGTCCCTTTTCTTTCAGTGCACAGCAAAGGAACACCCAGGCGAATAAGAAAAGAGCAATTCCAAATCAGGTACTGATCCATTCCTCTTTCAGCAGATTGTGACTGCACACACAGTGCTGCCTAGTGGGCACATTAATACATGTAGTTGCAGAAAATGGAATAGGCTTGTGAGCACAGCACTGAATAATGCAGGAGGTGATGCTCTTTCCTTATAGCATCTGAAAATAGCAAATGACAAGGAGGCAGATCCAATTGCAAAATGTACAATACCTCTAGGAAGTTTTTTGCTGTATGCGTTGATTCAGTCTGAAACTGTTTCTGCAAAGTGCATTTCCAGTTTCTTTGAGAAATAATAAGAAAACAATGCTAGTTATACAGAAAAAAAATAGAGAAAATAAATAATGCAACCATAGAATTCCTTTGATAATTTGTCAGTCTTGAGGCACAAAACTGGCAACTTAACGTTGCATGATGGTTAGTAAATGAACAATATATAGTACCAACATATATTGATTCTTGTTTGGAAAGAGTGTAATGAGACATTAACACTGTACAGTTATAATTAATAGCATGTAACTTTTTTCTTTTACTGTTTTTTCTACTTTACCTTTATTTTCCTACCATTTTTATGCTTTTGCTTCCCCTTTCCCCCTCTACTCAAATTATTTTATTTTTTTCCACTGTTTTGTCCCTTCATTCTGTTTTTCCTTATTTTGCCTGCACAACTAATTTTGCCAACCTCTAAAGGGTGAGATACTGGTAAGTACTTGTATAATATGCTAGTGATTGATACTTAAAACTTGGTGGTGGTGATTTTCTTTCATAACAAAAACCCCACAATAGGCTGCCTTGCTGCCACAAAGATTGTGCACTTAATTGTACAGAAAAGCAAGGGTCTCCCAGAGGAATTCCAGGAGACCCAGACATGGGAACGACAGTATAATTTTAAGCCCGGCTCCTAGTCCTAAATTTGTGGGGTAAATCAATCTGGCCATGAATGTGGCTTTCTCTGTATGATGCTCAAGGGCATACAAATTTTGTCTGAAAGGGTTTCCCGTCCGAGCAGGGGGTTGGACTAGAAGACCTCCAAGGTCCCTTCCAACTCTGTTATGATGCTCTGTTCCATCCCATCCCACCCATCCCATTCCATTGAAAATAGGATAGGAAACTGCTCAGGGAGAAAATCCCTCTTTCTGCATGTTTTTATCTTCTTCTGGTGAGGGCTGTTGGTATGATGGGACGTCAACACATCTGCTATCCACTATTCACTGACGCTTTACCAAATAAGGCTTCATGTCTCAGTTCCTAAGTGAGTCCCTAGTTTTTAATTTAAGAATGGGAACAAGAAGTGAGAAAGTAATTCTTGGTGGAAGCTAAGAGTGCTAGTGAATCTTGACTGGTACTTGCAGGGTTACGAACTCTGTTAGATGGAATTTATGATATCTCTAGTTGCAGTTTACATTTACCTTCTTGAAAAATTCATCGCATGAACCTTTTTTGTAAAAGGAGATCTGATTCTCTCAATCTTGTAGTTACCAGGGACTTGAACATTCTCTACACCAGTGGTGGGTTCCTACCAGTTCAGACTGGTTTGGCTGAACCGGTAGTGGTATGGTGGCCTAGGTCTCTGGAACCAGCAGTGACCCAGGCCTGCCACACCCCAGAACTGGTTTCCTGGTCTCTTCTGCTGTTGCCCGCATGTTTCTGCGCATGCGCAGAACAGTTTTTAATCAACTGCGAAGCGAGCAGCGAGCACGCAAAATGCCCTCTCAGTGAACCTGTAGTAAACCGTTTAGGAACCCACAACTAACTCTACACGTGCTTGGCTATCATCCTTTGTTCACTTACCATTTGAAGAAACAGCTTCAAATGGCCAGGTGTGTGTCCTAGTCAAAAATATTGTTTCTATATCTCCCTTACTTCTGGAATAATAACATTTCAGATTTAATGAATGGTTTACTTACAATGACGATGGACTCACAAGCATATGGCAAATGCTGTCCAGAAAAAAATTAGATGTAAATTTAGTTGTGAAAATTTAATTGATTAACTTAGATATTTCACCAGTTATGAAGTTTCTGAACTATTTTGAATTGTCAATATTTCTGCATAAATATGACCTAAAACACAATCTGTTCTTCAACAGGATCTAAAACTAAACAAAGAGAAACATTAAATAAATGAGTAAAAAAAGAGAGTAGAATAACAGAGTTGGAAGAGACCTTGGAGGTCTTCCAGTGCAAATATCCCTGCTCAAGCAGGAAACCCTACCATTTGGGCATATACCTCTTCATCCAGTCTGTTTTTAAAAGCCTCCAGTGATGGAATAGCCACAACTTCTGGAGGCAAGTTGTTCCACTGGCTGAATTGTTCTCAGTGTCAGGAAATTTCTCCCTCGTTCTAGGTTGCTTCTCTCCTTGATTAGTTTCTTGCTTCTTGTCTGGCCTTCTGATGCTTTGGAGAATAGATCCACCTGCTCTTCTTTGTGGCAGCCCCTTAGGTTGCTATCAATATTGCCCCCTAGTCCTTTTCACTAGACTAGACCTGGGAAATTCCTGCAACAGTTCTTCATATGGTTCATCTTCCAGCCTCATAATCATCTTCGTTGATGTTCTCTGCACTCTTTCTCTCCTGCATGGCGTAGGGATCTCCTCCCTGCATCCAGCGATGGCAGCAGCTGCTGCTCCCCATTGCAACTACTCACGCAGTGGCGGCAGCGGGAGGAGGAGTCGCCATCCCCACTGCTGTGAACCCGGCCCAGGAGGGTATTTTGCTGGCGTGCACACGCGTGCACGAAAGAGATGAGAGCAAGAAAGGGGGAGAAAAAGAGCGAAAGATAGAGAAATGAGAAAATGATGGTGTAAGGGCTCTTCTCCTAACTTAGGAAAGTGAAGACTCTTGAAACAGATTATTTCAAAAGGAACCTTTAATTAAGAAGAATGGAAACCATTAGAAGCAAAGCAACATCTGAATCCCCTTAGGCAATGCAGGTAGAATTAAAGCAGTAGTGACCCTTCCCGTGCAAATTCTAACCAATACACAAGTGCGAAGTTGTTTCCTTTATCAACTGTCCTGAGAGCCGAATAGACATAAATTCCCATGGCTATCTTCCATTGGGCATTAAAGTAAAACACCTCACACAGCCATCATAAACATTTCCCAAAAGATGGTGTGATCTCCGGCCTTTCGGAGCAGGAAACCAATTGTAAAATATCAGTTGTCACAGGCATTGCCAATAAATTGACTCCAAGCCCCCCCTCCTCCCAATTGAATGGCAGTATCGCGACACCTCCATTCTTTGGCGCTCAGCTTTCTTATGGTCCAACTTTCACATTGCAACTGGGAAAGCCACATGTACAGGAAAACCTACCTGTATACATTGAGTAAACCTCTCATCCCTCCTACAAGCTAACTCTGGAAGTGAAGATACAAGCTGCAGGCATGTTGACTAGGAAAGGGTACAATCCAGATCTTTCGCATTCAACTGTCAATCAAAGTTCATCCCCTCTTACTTTTAACCCCTCTAAGAAGCAATCACCAGTCTTGAATTCATTTCATCTTCTTCCTCAACAGGTTTAGGGGATTCACAGTAAAGCCTTGTCATTTCTGACTCTGAT